GAAGAGCCTGCGGGGTCCCCCTGCCACTTCAAACACCACAAATGAACTCGTATTATTGGCATCCGAAAGGCTGCGGCGCTTCACGGGCTCGGTTTTGGGTCTGTATTTTTTTTGGTGTAACAGCCCAATTAAATGGATGTGACTTGATAACGTAAGATCCTCTCTTGTGTGGAAGACGCAAGTGTATGCGAATCAGTGTATTGGCTGCCCCTCCGGCGTTGTTCCAGGGCTGTCTCTCTGCCCCTGCGGAGGGTGGCAGACAGGGCCAGGGGCTGCCTCAACGACAGCCGCGGAGGTTTTCCAGCCCTCCGCGCAGTGACAGCCACGCCGCGTGGGAAGCGGGGGGTGCGGGGTGCACGAGGGGTGCAGCTTCCTGCAGCTGTTTGCCTTCTGCAACATAGGAAAAACCGATTTAATTTTCTTTTCTTTTTTTCCTTCCTTTCTACTGGGGTAAGGACTTTGACGCTATCCCACTGACAAATCAGAGTCTGGGTGTTGCATTCACACCAAATCACAGCAAACGATTAACGACGAGAGGAAACGACAGCCTTCCCCCCCCCGGTGTAGCACTCACCTCTCCGAGCGTGGCTCTCGCCTTGGAGCAGCTGTAAATCTACCGGGCGGGAGGGCACGAGGGAGGCCAGCCTGACTTACCTGACACTCCTTTTCTGTCTGACGCAGGTTACAGCGTAAAGATAGCGTGCAGCCAACGTGTATTAGGTTGTCTTTAAAGAAAAAAACAGGAACTGTTAACATTTGGAGTTAAAAAGTTCCCCCTCCCGCCCCAACTCGCAAACTGAAGATTCGGATGAGTTATTACCCGAGCAAGATTTCCAGAAGGCTCATCTCCGTGCTAAGCCAGAGGTTTGCCATCGTTATAATCGCGGGCTGGGTTTGCCTTTTGATCTAAGCCGTGCTGAACTGCACAGGAAACATGTCAGAGGCAGAAACGCCTAAGGCAACAACCGCTGCCCGATGACAAAGAAAATCCTTTTGTCGGACATGCCTAGTCGCCTAGATGCCCAGAATTATAATTAAAGCTAAAGAGAGATTTTCTAGATAAAAATGCATGGCTAATTACTGCTTATAAGGGACCTGGATAGTAGAAATAGAATTTCATAAAGACATTTTTCAGTTCCTAAAAGTTCCCCATAGCCCAAGGGAAGGATCTGATTCTTCCAGGAGGGAAGCATTCCTTTTTGTCAGCTTATTACAGGTAGTAATTCCCACACAGCTCATAATTTACATTATCGCTTCTTCTAACAGAAGGCTAAACTACAACCTTAGTTGCCGACGAACACGGACTGTTAATCACAGTAATTTGTTCTTTTGAAATGCGGGGTCTATAGAAAGTAACTTCGAAAAGGTTTTTGAGGTGACTGGGAATAAGCGACACAAAGCAGCACAGGAAAACCAGAGCTGACTCTGCCTGATCCTTCTGATTTTTACCAACCTTAAACGATTCGGACAGCGCCGTTGTGAGGCAAACAAATGCAGATGATTATCCCCACTTTTACAGCCTGAGATACACAGGGCACCCGCTGCAAAGGTGTTCTCTGTGGCCGGTCTAGCAATCCAGGTGCAAAGCCCAGACCACGAATACTGGCCCGTTGCACACTTCCTCATGCTGTCCGCTAGCAAGCCACTACCGCTACTCTTAACGCCTCAGCCCACGGGCAATGTAAGCCATGCTAAGTTCAACATTACAGTGAATTGTTTTGCAGGAATAACGGCCAGAGATGAAAAAAAAAAAAACCAAACCCGTATGGAAATCCCCACCAGCGACAGCCCTCACCAGCGTTTACCATCTAGCCATGGGGCTCGCCGATCTTCTCTGTCCTCCCTCAGGTCCTGTGCTTACAGCTGAGTTTGCTCCGGTGCGGGGCTGGGTTTTTTTTTCCTCATAGCGCAGCCGTGTCTGCTTTAATGCCGTACTGTTGCTCACTTGTGGACAAAAATCTTTCTTCTACGTAGACTAGTGTATCTGTGATCAAGAGGGCAAAAAAAAAGAATGTAACAACGCATTTCCCGCTAAGAAACACTTCCCTTTTACACCAACTCCAGTAATGGGGGTTTTGTCTTTGCTCACTCATTTCCTCATTGATAAACAAACTTCTCTGCTGGTGCTCCCGGTCCCTCAAGCTGCTCAGCGGTTTTTGAAGAACAGCAAAGTTGAACTGTGGCATCTTCTGATCCGCTGCATCGGGTTTATGCTTCCTTATCTGGCAGAGGAGTTGAAAAACACAAAACCTCAATCCTTGAGGCATCTGTAAGGATGCACTTTCCCTTCTTGAGAGGCAGGACTACTTGCTTCAACTTCCAGATCAAATTCTTGCTCTTAGAGCTGCCCTTGTGCGTTAGCAGAGGCATCTGCAGGAGGTTCCCACCTACAGCAGTGAAGTTACAAATGAATACTTCGGCCAAACCTCTCGGGGCACGAGGATGGAATTTCCTGCAGTAAGCACCAGGGAGGAAACACCACCCTCGCTGTTAATTGTGCATGAACTAACACCAGTTTTGCTAATGAGCTTCAGTTTAAATGCTGATGTTTAGTCGGCACAGGAAAACATACCTGCTTTTTCGTACTTGAAAAATACTAGTAATGCACTAAAAGCTCAGCAAGAAATACCTACAGCATGAACACAACGATCACTCACTACAGGTACATTGTGTTCAATTCTCTGCCATTACGCTTTGTTCCAGAAGCTTCCGGAGGTACTTAAAATGACACATTTTCTTCACACCACTGTTAAGTACTGGGACTTTTTGAAAATTCAAATGAGGACAAAACTGACCTCTGTGCAGAGATGGGAATCAGAAGCCTAAAGCTGCTTTAAGCAAGAGCTTTAACTGTCTAGAAGCCTTGTCTAGACTGTCTGTAGCGGTGAGGGCCTCACCCTAATTGAACTCTGTAAGAAAAGGCAGTGATACCGTTGCTTAATCGTAAAGTTATTAGTGTCTTTCATTAACTGAACAGAAAGGCAAGCCCTAGCTGTGGTGAAGCAGACAGATACACCACACACGTTTAAGAACACAAAGAACAATCAGAGCTTTGAAGAAGCAGCCAAAAGACAGCGACGCTGCAATACACAAAAGTTTATTTTTTTCTTTTCTGAAGGCAAAATATAATAGAACCTAACATCAATGCATTTTGTACAACAAAACAGTTTTTATATGAGAACAGACAATCCATGAAGAGTTTTTAAGTCTTAGAACTGCTTCCCTTTTTTATCATGCTTTCTTGCGGTCAACAAAACGCTGGCACAGAAGATGTCACGGCAGTCAGGCAGCGGGCGTGCTCCCTCAGATCCTCGTCAGCTGGTGCCACAGGCTGGAGGGCAGGATACTTTCTACTTTTTCCATCACGAAATTTAAAGGGGCAAAGAGGGTGCTGAGAAACTGCAAAGAAATGAGATAGGTACACATTCAGATCAAAATCCAGGAGACAATACACCTCAAGAGAAAACTGCCCACGAAGACAAGAAACTCTTGCTGCGCTCCTCTAAAATCCTTCAGCGTGACAAAAATTCTATAATTCCCGTATAAAGACTTTCTGCCAAATTCTGAGTCTTGCATACAGACAGACTGCTGGATTTCACAGTGAAGAAAGCAAGAGCCTCATTTTTACGAAGATCAAAGTGACGAACTACAAAAGTTTTCACCTGTCTCACACCCTAGATTCGGGCTCGTACTGACGCCACTAAAAGCTCAACCCAAAACC